AAACTCAGATGTCGCAGCACACGGCTACTTCACGATCTCGAGTGCGTACTACCGGCTCCACGAATGCAGTCCTTGCCATGAGTCTGAAGATGGAGCGTCATGACAAGAAGGGGCGCGTCTGCCTCACATGCGTTCGTGCCCGTCCTGGCCGCGACATGTCGGCCGGCCTCCCCAGAAGAAAGAGGCCGCGGTGCTGGCGCCGCCCCCGCCGCACGCCGAGCCTAGAGGCCACCGAGGGGGGGGGGCGCGGCGTGCGCGCGACGGGCGGGGCCGTCAGTGTCCTATGCCAACTGGGCTCGGCGCCCTCTGTCGCGCCCTGGCCTGCCGCGAACCCCTTCGGGGATGGACAGGACCCCCTCTCGCAAACAGTGGCCCACGACCTCGAGCCCAGACCCGGGCTCGAAGCCCGGAAAATGGGGGCCGCGACACCCCTTCGAGAACCGAGAACGGACAGTCCACCGATCGACGTGTCAGGGCGGGGGTTCTGTCCACCCCCGACCCCTGAAGGGTGATTTGCGGGTATGCCATCCTGCCTTGGCCAACCCTCTGTACTGCCACCCCGCCTGCGTGGAGGGCGGCCTGGGGCCCTACGATTAGGTCGGGCATGTCCTCCTACGGGCGGATTTTGGACGAAAGATCAAAAATTGTCTCACACACACACACAATCCAAACTAGTTTTTTGTTTTTTTATATGTATATATATATATATATGTAAACAAAACAAAAACAAAACAAAAAAAACAACAAACAAAAAAACACGTCCCCTGACTATTTTTTACTATTTTTGAATATTTCTCCTATAGAATATTTCTCCTATAGAGGGGCATGCCCGACTTAACTCTACGACCAGGTGCAAGGAACGGATGCCATCCCACCAGAGCTGCGCCACGGCGTCCGCGGCTGCTGCGACCGCCCCAGCCGGCCCACCCAGGCAGACTACGTCACCGACCACAGCAGGACGAAACGCGCGAAGGCCGACCTTGGCACTGCCCGCAAGGCCGCCGTGCTAGGCGCACCCCTTATTGGAAGAGGACAACGGGGCGCTCGGCCACGTACCAAAGGACCCTCCAAGCAGCGCGCCAGCCCAGCCCGCAAACCTAGGGACCTAGTGTGGTGGGACAATGTAGATGATGACGCCGCAGAGCACTACGTTCCCACGATCCTCCAGGTGCCACCGAACGTGAGCGCAGCTCTGGCACAGCTCCGCGGGCGCGTGGCCGAGCAGATCCTGGCTACGCAGGCTGCCGGCGGTGCTGCCACCCAGGCCCAGGCGGAGAAGGCGTTCACGTTCTTCGACAGAGTGGTGTTCTTCAGACCCGGGAAGACTCGCGGGGTTCAGAAGGCGCGCAGTTCTGGCGGCTGAACCAAGATCCTGACGCAACGCATACGGATTGCCGAGCGGAGGGACCGGGGCGGCCTTTGGCGCGAGCCCACGACTACTACGAGCGCGAGCCGCGGGCCGAGCGCGCGGTGGAGTCGCTGCTGGAGGAGCGCCCCGTCAGCAAGGCTATGCAGCGAGCCCTCCACATAAACGCGCTGGCCGCAGGGCCCTGCGCCCACGCCAGCCTCCAGAGCCTCTTCCCGAAGGGCCAGAGCAGCACCTCCTTCAAGCGCCCGCCGCGCCCGATGACGACACTCGCGCAGCGCCGGCTGCGGCCGTGGCCAAAAGCCTGGCGAAGAGCCCGCGCCGCTCCGGACCAGGGCCAAACGGCAGCAGGCTTGAGCACTGGCGCGCGCTGCTGGCCGACACCCCCGCTCTGGGGGCGGTGGCTGGGGCCACGGTCGCCTGCTTACTCGGAGAGCTCAGCCCGGAGGCCACACGGGCGAACCTGTGTGCCCGGCTGCTGGCCCAGCGCAAGCGCAACGGCACCCTCCGACTGATCGCCTGCGGCTCTGTGCTCCGCCGCCTCGCTGCGCGGACCGCTTGCGATGTCTGCACAGACGACATCGAAGGGGCAGTCGGCCCCCATCAGTACGCCGTCGGGCGCGCGGCGGGGTGCGAGCTCGCGCACAAGCGCCATGCAGCCCTCTCGGAGGCTTGCCCACACGGGGTCGCCCTGGCGCTCGATTGCTGCAACGCCTTCAATGGCATCACTCGCGGCAAAGCGCTGGACAGCGTGCGCCCACCACTGGCTCACGGGAAGTTCCCGTGAGCCACTGGTTCCCGTCGGGAACAGACCAGCACTACTGCTGGGACGACCCAGCAGACCCGTCGGGAACCACGCAGCACTACTGCTGGGACGACTCAGCAGGCGGCGCGGACCGCATTCGAGCCAGACTACTGGGACGACCACCCAGCACTACTGCTGGGACGACCCAGCAGACGGCGCCCACCGCATTCGAGCCAGCAGCGGCGTGGACCAAGGGTGCCCGCTCTCACCGGCGCTTTTCGCAGTTGGCATTGCGGACGAGCTCTACGCGGGCCTCTAGGCTCTCTCGCCGTCCTGGAGAGTGTTCAGCTACCTCGACGGCATCATGGTTTTTGTCACGCCAGGCCTCGCAGACGAAGCCATGCGGCTCGCAAATCACACACTCACGGGGCACAGCCTCACGGTCAACCAGAGCAAGACCAGGCGCGGTTAGCGGGGAGGCCCGACCAACTGTCGGCCACCGCCCAGACGCGCTGGGTGGACCACCTCACGTGCTTGGGAAACACGGCCCCCTGGCTCCAACAGGAGGGGGGAAGGGCGACTGTCCACGCAGGCGTGGACGGGGCCGCAGCCGTGGCCAAGGCAACGGCGTTCGCCGCCCATCTACAGGAGCTGCGGCAGGCGGGCCTCCAGACCGAGAGCGTCTTCACTCTGCTACAGACCTTCGCCCGCGGATGCGTCACGCGCCAACTCCGCGCCAACCTTCAGGGGGACTGGGCGGAGCTGCTGGACCGCATACTCTTCGGCTGCCTCAAACAGCTTGCTGCTGGACACTTGGACGCCCACCAGTGCCTCCAAGCCACGCTGCGCCTCGCCGACGGCGGGTGCGCCCTCCCCTCGACTACCTTGACGGTTCCCGCCGCCTGCGCCGCCAGCTGTGCCCTCTTGCTCCACGGCGTTATGGCCTGCCTCGGGGCCAACTCGCTGGAGGAGCTCCGTGCGCGTTGCCCGCGAACGCAACAGACGGTCGACCAGGCGGAAGCGGCACTCTGGGCGCCAGACGTCCTCCAAGTGCCCTTCGGCTTGATTGGCTGCACTGCAGAACCACGATTCAAGCTACCGGCCCACTGGGGCAAAGCTGCCTCCGCGGCCAACAGGAGGAAACTGCTGCGGTTACACGACGAGGACCGCCGCCTACGCTTGCGAGAGAACGGAGGCACAGGAGCAGTCAGCTAGCTCCTCCCGCGCCAGCTGGGCCACCCCGGCCAGCCCGACGTGCACTTCAACGGCAACCTGAAACGGCGGCTCTGCTTCGCAATATGCCCACCGGCCTCCCGCTGTCAGCACCGCCGCCAGGACAGCAGCCTCTGCAACGAGCCCCTCGACCCGCACGGTTGGCACGCAGCCAAATGCGAGGTGGGCGCATCGCGCAACAACCGCCACAGTAGCTGCTGCGACCGCCACTGGTAGAAAATACACCCTCATAGTAATCACCCCGACACGCAAAGCCGCTCAGTAAACGCACCCAATACAGGAATCGAACAGGGCAGCGCTTCTTAGTAAACGCCCACGGCCGTTTAGTAAACGCCAATTATAGCGAATGGGTGGTTCATCCTCCCTTGACAGGAGTCACAGGCTTCGCGGCGCCCACGGAGCAGGCAACCCCCGCACAAGGGTGCTGCAGCAAGGGTCCACCGCCCCCAACAACCATCGGTCGGAAGAAGTAGGTAGAAACACGAAGGAAGGCGTTGAAAGTAGATTGGGTCTCCGCCCGCCCGCTGAAGAGGGCGGAAAAGGTGAAGCCACTCGATCACTGAACTAGGAAGGCGCTCAAAATAGACTGGAACCTGGGACTCCAAGAACACCTGCCCTCCAACGACCGATGGGCACTGGACACCGCGCGCGGGCCGCGGCGCCGGGAACGTGGCCCGCGCCCTACCTGCGTCGGAGCGCTGCAGCACTGGCGCCCTGGGCAAGCTCGCACCCGAGGGGGGGGATGCTGGTCCTGGCCCTCCGGCGACCGCGCGGACGCTGCCCGCTCACGGCCGCTGGACACGGAGCCGGCTTGTCGGCCGACAGGGCCCGGCGGCTCGCGCCGGACACCGCTCTGGCCTGTCCGCCGAGTGCTGGGCGGGTCGCGCCGAGGCGGCCCCGGATACGGTGCGGCGAGTGCTGGGCAGCTCGCGACGGACAGGGCCTGGAGGGGGCAGTCGCGGCCGCCGAGGGGGCCGAGGGCGAGGAGGAGGACGAGGAGCGCCCCCCAAGAGCGGACACGCCGAGCGCGGGCAGCCGAGAAGCTCGCCCGCGCCCCTGCCCTGGCCAGGGCGGCGCAGGCCTGGCGCCCTGCACAGGGTCGGCGCCCTGCCCGCGCCCAAGCGCTGCTGCGAAATTGGCGCCCTGGGCAGGGACCACCGCCCCCAAGACTGGACACCGAGCGCGGGCGGCCGAGAAAATCGGGGCGCCCCCGAGAACACGAGGCCGAGCGCAGGCAGCCGAGAGCATTGCCCGCGCCCTGCCCGCGTCGGAGCGCTGCAGAGGCCAGGCGCCCTGTGCACGGCCAGGCGCGCAGAGCTGGACACCGAACGCGGGCAAGCGCAGGGAAATGCACAGAGGGTCGCAGAGGCGTTGTCCGAGCCACCCGTGCAGGAGTGGTGAGAGAACTGGAGCACGAAGCTTCCAGGCGCTACAGATCTTTCGCCCTGGGCATGGTCGAGCTCAAGTCACATGTCGAAACCTCGGCAATTCTACGCAGCACGCTGGGCGCCACTGAGCCTCTCGGGCGAGACCCCCGTGAACCCCCCAGGCGGGTTGTTGTTTCCACCGGTCGCGAGAGCGAACAGGGGAAGGCACGGCGCGGAAAAAAAGCAACCACATGCTCTGGAAAAAACTGGCTTGCAAGACCACGCACGG